TATATATATATATATATATATATATATATATGTATTGTCCCATTCCATGCTCCGTCCGTCACATTGTCTTAGAAGGTTGTCGCATTTCATGCAATGAATAGCACATTGCCCTGTGAACTCGGTAAACTTGTCCTGTAGTATTTATACTTCTCCTCAGTCAGCTCATTCCAACACGCACAGACTGCATTTGTCCATGCAACCATCCATGGCCAAGCTATAGAGCTTTCTCAAACCACAGACACACCAACGCCATAACAATTCATGTACTTAATAGTCCACAACAATTCATGTACTTAATAGTAAAGGTTGCAACCGGATATAGATAGGGTTGCCATATGTCTAGGGGGTCACCTGACGAAAGTCCGTAAATTAAAACAAAGAGCACGTCTATCGTAGACCTGTCCCATTTGTCAAACCAGATGTACCCGGGTGCAGCACAACGCTACCATGCGTTAAAGTTTTAGGTTTTAGTGTATTTTAAAACAAGACTCTGAGAGGCATTCTTCAATACCTGAGTGCCCAGACCAACGTAACGGCTTGCCTTTTCTACAGATTGAATTGTACCGCCACATAATCCTCCGAGGCGAGCTATGGATCTTCTCGTCTCCGCATACCCAAATAAGGTTATACAGCGAAGTGGCGGCAGATGTGGTGCCGCTGGCGGCCAATCAGTGGCCTGGATTGCCGCCCGAAATAGTCAATGCCGGATTGGTGTTGGACATTGTGCGGGATTACTACTGGCTGGTCCCACCGGAGAAGAACAACAAGGTAAGACGTGTGGGATATCTGTCTGATTATCTGATTTACGACATGGTCGGATTGTCGGATTTACGATATGGTCTGAATTACGACATATTGTGTTGGACATTGGTATCGGCTGATTTCACCCGAGAACAACAGCGTGTGGGATATTTGTCTTATTGTCTGATTTTATGTTATGACATCGTGTTTTAGTTGCCTCTGATGCTTCCACCCGAGACGAAAAAGGTAAAAGTGTGAGACGCTTATCTGCTGATTGTCTGACTTGGGATATTTGTCTGATTTACGACATATCGTACTGAGCATTGTGCGGAAGTACTATAGGCTGGTTCCAGCCAAGAAAAGTAACAAGGCTTTAAGTCGTGTAGAACATTTGGCTGATGCAAGACATTCGTCTGATTGACGACATACTGTTTTGGACATGGTTTGTTATACGCAATAGCTCGCCCTACACGAGAAAACAAATAGGTATTGTATGTAGGACAAAAGAAAATGATTTAAGACAGGTTGCGTTGTATTATTAGTACCGTCACTCCAAAATAAATTAATAGAACTACAGTGCACGTGTAAATTGTTTTACATATTGTGGGGAAAGCACTTATATGAGACAAATGCGGCTATACGACCATCTCATTCTTGGTAATTAATCAGATACACGCCATTACATCATATTCTCGTCCAAACAGATGCAAGTACAGCTCATACGACACCCTGTTACTGGAGGTATCATCGGCGAGCGACCAGTAGCGTCTGATGTGGCGGTTATAAGGTCGTATTTATTGCTGGTAATACGACACACCACCACTCGCGGTGGCCGGGTAGCCGTCGGCCGAGAGGTATGTGTGACATACGTCTGGTATATATATATATATATACAGCAGATATGATTATATATCAACTTACTGACATAAAATTGTATATGTACACACAAGCGCACATACTAACACACAGTCATATCTCGTACAGGACGTGCGTGGGCTGCTATCGTTACTGATAGTCAGCCATGGAGTGGAGGGACAAGTACTGGATGTGTTGCAGCTGTTTCTGATACTGTGCACCCGGGTGGCTTCCCCGGATACCATCTTCGCATCCTTCTACGACCTCAACGGCCTGAGTGTGGTGTTAAATGTGCTAGCGATCACCGAGAGTGGTATGTATAACGTCAGTGTGCTTATATATATATATTTAAATATATATATATACTTTTATATGA